ACTTCTCGGGGTTGATCATCGGTTGAATTTTTCCCATCAATTTTTCATATGCACGATTCATTGCAGTTGGTAACCCAGCAATTCTTGTCTTTATTTCAACTTGTTTTGAACGGATATTGTTTCCTCGATCTGCTGATGGAATCCATTTGCCTTTCAATAATTTTTGACTGTTACACATGTCTTTTAGAATAACCTTTACATTGTTGTATTAAATGGTCATCGGCATTGCATTTAAAACATCGTCTTTTCTTTATACCAGACCAGTAGCAACTATTTCTTTTTGTGTCACAGCTTGAGAATATATTGAATCTAACTGCATCCCTACATTTTTTTAGGACCAGTTTTATCTGGATGTAGTGTGATATCCTGTTTATAAGCTTTGATTGGGTCTCCATTAAGTTTAACTAAACAAAAAATTTTTTTTACTTAATCATAATTTTATAATTAAATTTTATAAAATAAAAAATTAATAAAAATTTCAAAAATTAAAATGACTGTTTAAAAATTTTTTTATTCTTAATATTTTAAATTTATTTCCAGTGTCCAACAACACTTTTATTTATACAATAAAGTAAATGTGTAATTCCAATCAAAATTTTCCATGTTATACAATTAAATCAAAATGTTTATTTTTACTTCGAAAAGACATATAAAATTTCACTAGTTTGGTTCTTTTATATTTCACGTGGTTTTTTTTTTATTTTTTAATTTATATAGTCTAACTAATTTAAATATTTAAATGTGTTACTATGGGTTTATACAAAAAGAGAATTTTTCTTTAATTATTGGAGTCGTGTGTAAAGATAAGATTATATGTTTAATTATATCTATATAAATTGATCTTCACACATGTTATACTTGTCAAAGATCATTTATATTGATATTAATTTAAAGACAATATTACACTTAAACTATAAATTAAAATTATCTTTTTTTATATACCAAGTCAAATTGTTTTTAACTTCCAGAAACATGAGATTCATTGTACGACTCCACAAATGTAGTTATTTTATCTTTTTGTTTTAATTTCAAATGTCACACACATTACTATATAATATAAAAATATCAATTGGTATAAACATATTCCCACTACAGCATGAATAACCATATATCATTTGAAATATTAAATGCTTAATTTTATTTTATTATTTCTCTTTGCATATGTCGTAATTTTTAAAGGGATCATAACTATCTGGGATCTTCACGGGATTTATTAAAGTGATCCCTTTAAGATTTCAAAGAACTTTACGGCATTATCACGTTTGAAAGATGATATAGAAGAATCTTATTTTAGAAAGCGTTATACGCGCGTTTCGCTTTATTTTTTTAAAGTTATTTATTATTTTCAATGTTGTTTATTTTGACCTTATGAAATAAGATATGTCTAATATAGGGTATCAATCGATAGCTAATCAAAAGATCTATTCAACTGGAGGTCAATCTTTCCCCCTGGTAAGTCTAGGTCTGGGGGGTCAGGAAAATTTTTATCAAAATAAAATATCGATATGGGTATAAAACAGGGATGTTACCCTTCGACAAAAAAAAAGGGTCCAGGTCCGGGTTCGGGTACAGGAATAAAATTTGAAAGGATCCGGGTCCAGGTTCCGGGTTCAGGGAACATAAAGATAATTACTCAAAATAAGATTTTTTTTTATTCATTTATTATTATACTTCTATGCATATTCATAATTTACAAATGAAAAATTTAAAAATCAAATAATTTATTTTTTAAATATTCTCACACAAAAATAATATCTACTAAAATATCTTACTTGAGATTTCCACGTAAAGTAGACAATACAGGGGAGACTGGGGTTAGTCGAACCAATTTTTACAAAATTGACTATAGCTCTTGTTGTTTTATAGATAATATAAAAAATAATATATGATTGGATACCTAAAACTATACTCTATAAAGGTGCCTTATAAAAAATCTTAAGAATATAATTATTTTTTTTAAATTTTATTTTTTATAAAAGTGAAAATTTTGTTCAACAAGCCCCAATAGCGGGGTGAGGCAAACCACTTCCATTGGTTTTTTTAGGCCATAATAAATTGAAATGCATTTTTATTTATTAATAATGTTATGTATAGAATAATTTTATTGTTTTATTGTTCAAAATATCATAATACTTATAAATTGAAGCTAATTATATATAAAAATTGAAACTTAATTTTGGCTAATTTAATAAACATTTTGGAGAGAGATTAAGATTTCTTAGCATAAATCCTAAATACCAATCATAAACAGCCAAAAAATTGCCTTTACAAGATTTTGAAATTTTTTTCATTATTAATTGCCATAATTGACGTGTATGGTTTAGCAAACACCGTTAGCTCTAAATTGACAAATCATGATTGAAATAATATCTAGATTTGATAAATACTCATAAAACTTACCCAAATTATAGAAGAATGTTTAAACTTTGTAATAAAATTTAATTTACAAATAAATGATCATATATTTTAATAAAAATTAAAATTCTGTGTCTTATAAAAATCTTTTGAAAATTTCATCAAAATTTTATTTAAATTTTATTTCTTAAATAAAATTTTTAGTAATTAATTATTTCAAAATATATTTTGTCCATAGATGTATACTAATGAAAACTATATTAGGATAAAATTTAACCTTCTGGTATATTTAATTTTAAAATGAGATTAAGTGGTTTGCCAAGCCCCAGGTTTTATCTAACCCCAGTCTCCCCTATATTTCAAAGAAGAAAATTCACGTTTAGGAGAATTTTGCATACAAATTTATTTTTTTTGTGGTAAATTATAGGAATTATTAATTCCGCATATTTAAGTTATATTTATTTTATAAAAAAATATAAAAAGTTTTGTCATCACATATTTTCTTTTACTTAGTTAAAGATATTTTATGTAGAATAATTTTAAAAATAATGATAAAATATTGATCTTAGTTATTAGTCAAAATCTTTTATTTCTTAATATAGTTTTTTTTTTTAAATTTAGTTTTTTTCATCTCCCACTCTATTTTATCATGTTTGAGATATAAATTTAATTCAATATTTCATTCAATTTATATATTACATATAAACAATATATAATAAGAAATATGTTCGTAATTACACTAATACATGAATATTGATTATATAAAATATTTAAATGTTAGTTCATAGTCATCCCAAATTTCTTGCTAATAGTACCTATTTGATTAAAATATTCAAATTTAATCGTAATTTATTATATAATTAGATTACTTTATTCAATTGGTAGTCTACGATAACCTTTCAATGTTTGATGTGTCCTTTTTTTTCTCCCTCTTTGTTTAAGATTGAATTCTTTTAAGGGATCACCAATAATTTCTGGGAATGTATCCCGTTTTATTTTATGAATCGCTTCGACATATTAACATGTCCTTAATCTTGATCTGTTCCTCCTCTGGCATAGCTAAAATTTTCATTACCATGTCAATCTTTTCTTTGTTCCAACAATGGTATGTTCTTTTGGGTTTAGGAATAATGGAGGAGAGGATGATTTGTATTTTCATTAATGATAGCTAAAGAATTATTATTTGTGGAAATGTTAGAATATGATTGATAATTTTCCATATCATTCTCATCTGAGGTGGGCAAGGAATAATTTCAGAAGTAATTGGGAATAGAGGAGAATTATTAAAGTTATGAGATATTAAACATCGAAAAAGTAATTAATTAAATTAAATATGAAAATATTTAAAAAATATTGTAAATAAGCTTTTTATGTAAAATTAATTTTTTTAATTGTACAAACTTCAAGTGCGGCATTTTTTAAAAAAGTTGTTTAATATTTTTTTAACATAGATTAATGTTTAAGTATGATTAAAATAAAAATATAATATCATTTTATTTTGTTTTAACATCTGGTAAAAAATATCCCCCCTTTCACTGTAAACATTCTTAAGCTTGTTCATCATTTTATTTTACCAAATGTTGTTTTGCAAGAGCTTTTCATTTTAATATGCATATGTCAATGTGCGAATTGTGGCCAATCAATACATGGCGATTCAATACTCATATCTTTATTATTATTAAGCGCCTTTATACGTCTATTAAATAAAGCTTTTAAAGTCTAATTTTTTGTGTGAATAATGCTAAATGCCTCAGGATAATATTTATATAAAATATCAGCAATCTAAATTAGTAATTTTTGCACCAAATAAAAAAATGTATAACGTTATTTTTCCAGAAAGAGGTACTAAAAACAGTTTATTTGAAATATTTTTTTTATTGAATTGCTATATTCAATAAATAAACTTAGGTAAGGTACATATAATAAATATACACATTTTGACCAATTATGAGAGAAATTGGTCAAATAGATAAAAAGTTAAAGGGTGGTGGCCAGTTTTCACACATGGCCATTTATGGCACATTTCCCCTACTTAAAAAATATGTATAAATACAACATTAATTAATTATATCAACAACAAAAATTTAATATTTAGACAGACATGGGAATGCTAAGATAAAGGTTCGGAAAACTTAAAAAGATTCATATTAGAAACGATAACTGTAAAAGTATAGGGATTTCCATCATAATAGAAAAAAAGGAGGGCAGGTTAAGGTGGTTTAAACAGTTGAGAATAATACAAATAGAGTATAATGGGAAGAGGCATGGTGGTAGATAGAATTTGGAAAGGGAGACCGATATAAAATATAGGAAGTTGGCAAAAAAGTATATAGCTATGTTAAGACCTAATCAAAGTTGGCACTCTTTAGAAGAAGTATATACAAGAACAAGGGGAGGTATGAGCAATGTACCTCCTCATATTCTTTAGGAGGCATAGGGTAGGTTTGGTGAATATCAGCTGAATCTAAAAATTAAGAAGATTTGCTAAGTATTAATCTTATTGCTTTATAAACATGAAGAGCTAACTAAAATACATTATAAATGCTATAAAGCGCACACCAGTTTTTAAAGTGAAGATATTCTCTATTATATTTAAATTTTTGCGAATTAAATTATTTAAAATATTATGTTTCAAAAATATAAAGACAGCTTCAGCAATGGCTTTCAATTTATACCATTTGGCCGTCAACAAAGAATGTCAGGATAAATTGAGGCAAGAAATAACCGAAACGTTCAGAATAAAAAAGGAACAATTTTTGGATGCAGAAACTTTAAGAAGTATGTCGTATTTAAGAGCGGTGGTTTGGGAAACATCAAGGTTTTAAAAATTTATCATATTATAAATTTCAATTATTCAATCATAAAAATATAATAGATATTATCTTCTTTAAATTTAGTCGATAAGTTAATTAATTATTTGGCACATGCCAAATCTGTTCTTATTGCTATTTATTTTGAAATATATAATTGTTGAAAAAACCTATTAACTTCCCAGTGATAAGGTTGGTACTAGATTTTAAAATTGTTATTAAAAATTAACTTGTGGTGTTATACCTTATTTTTCACTAACCTTCATTTTATGCTAAAATACATTTCTGTCAAGTTTAATTATTTTTGAATAGATTTAACATTTTAAAAAAATATATGATATTGTTTGAATTTTTTATACCACAATATTAAATTTAATGATTGTTACATGTAGTGTTGTTAAACGGCTCGTTTTGAGCCGATTTTTAAAAACGGCTAACTCGATATTTCATCTAAAATATTATTAGCAGGGATGTGAACCCTTCGACAAAAAAAAGGGTCCTGGTCCGGATTTGGGTCCGGTAATAAATTTAAAAAGGACCCGGGTACAGGGTTAGGGTCCGGTCAGAGGAAACATAAAAATAATGACTCAAAATAAGACTTTTTTTTATTAATTTTTTATTATACTTCAATATATACACATTTATAATTCGAAATGAGATAATTTATATTTTAAATATTTTATTCAATCGCACAATCATGATATCTTCTAAAATATCATCCTTCAGATTTCCACATAAATTAAACAAGATATATTTCAACGATGAAAATCCACGTTCTTACCTAAAATAGATAGTCATTTTTATAATACATAAATTATTGTACTTGTGTCGCCGGTACAGCCATGACGATTCTAGACAAGGTATTTAATTCTGGATATATTGAAGAATTTTCCTCCCAGAATTTTAAAATGTTTGCATCTCTATTTATTCTCTTAACTTCTGAGAACTTTTCTATTAAAGATACAATAGATATTTTTTGCTCCTTTCTATCAGATGATAATTTAATTTTTTTTCCTCTATCTAATAGTAAAATTTCCAGATCATCAATATCGTTATCATTATCATTGTTATCGCTACAACCAGTAGATATTGTTGTAACCACCAATGTATTGTAAATAATAGAGTTTTGGGTATGCCATAAATCTTCAAGATGGTCTATAGTCATTTGTTTTTGCTCACTACTTAATAAAACCTGATATCGCGGGTCTAAATATATCGAAGCATATACAACACTATTTTGTAAATATTGTTGCTCTCTTATTTTCGTATTTTCTAGTACTTCATTTGAAAAGAACTTGTTAATCTCCCTAACTCTAATCGACATCTTAACCATATGCCATAAAAATCCGATAAACATAATTGTTCTGCTTGCACTCTTAATGTTGTTAAAAGGAACCAGCACACTAGTAAGCTCTTTTACTTGATTCCAATCATCTTCTAACAAAATGATTTCACATGCTCCTATGATTAAATCATTACAGAAATCTTTCAAACTTAATAACTCTAGCATCATACATATAGAGGAACAGCGTGTTGTGCAATCTAAAATTGCCATTTGCCTTTTCATGGATTTTAATATTCTAACAATTGTGGGAGTTCTTAAATATTTTACAACATCCCTTGCTTTATCAATTATAGTTTTAAAGTGACTATTTTTTAGGGAGATTCCATGAAAAAAATTAATAAAATTATAAAAATTTTACATTATTTTTTAAAAATTAATAAAATTAATAAAATTATAAAAATTTTATATTATTTTTTTTAAAATTAATTTAACACCCTGAACCCTTGGACCCTCCACTTTTTAAAAAGGTCCGGGTCCGGGTTCAGCCAAAATACGAGGGTCGAGGAGGGTTCAGGGTCCGGGTTCACATCCCTGATTATTAGGCAAGCCTGAAGATTTTGTTTGTAGAAGGAACAAAGGTTTGGGCATCTATTAGAGAAATCCATAGGCTTAGGCTATATTTTTATGGCTAAAATATTGAGTTAGTCGTTTTTAAAAATCGGCTCAAAACGAGCCATTTAACAACACTAGAATTTTTAAATAAAAATATGTTATTCAGTAATTATACATTATTTTAATACTATCTTTAAAAAAATATACCTAAAATTTCTAGTTAAATCTTCGAAATGTTTATATGTTTAATATTAGGATTTAGCATATCAAATAATATAAACATGATTGAGGTATAATAGTCATAGATGGGGTTTTGGTTAAACTCACCTTACCCCTTAGGGAGTTCTTTTTTTACCTTATCACTGAAGAATGATATAAGAGAATTGGATGTGTTGTTTGGAAATATTAAATTCTGCTACCAAAAATGTTAATATAAAGTAAGAGTTATAAATGAAATAGAACAGAGTGAGCTGTAGTTCAAATTCTGAGTTATTAGCGAGGGAAATGATAGTGGTCAATAATGGTAAGGGTTTATACTATAATTTAATTCCATACCAATATATCACAAGCATTTCATCATGCCGTCTGATATTGATTTCTAAAAATATCGTTTACCTCAAATATAACTGAGATCCTGGCCGATTTTAGTGCACAAGATATGATAATACAAACAATATGTATTCCATTCGATCCTTTTGCAATGGGGATCGGGGACTGTTAAAAACAATAGAATGGACTCAAATAACCTAAATTAGAAAGGGGTTGGTAAGCTTGTGAGGAATGGAAAATTTCAATTAAGATCTTTAGTATGAGACGTTTGATTTAGAAGCTCTTTATAAGTGAATCCGAGAATTCAAAAATAAATTAAAAGAGGTAAAGATTTTTAGGTTACTAATAATAAATAAGTAAATTGAAAGAAAGATATATTTAGAACGTAGAAATGTTTTGTTTAATTTAATTATGGAAGTAAGAAGCGTTTGAAAAAAAAATAACTTTATGATATCGGAGACATCAATGGAAAAAACGATATGCGATAAAAGGATTAAGTTCTCATTTATATGCAGAAACGTTTATATTTTAGAGAAAAACAAATTCTTAAGGAATTAAGAAATTTAGAGAGCAATAATTACTGGTGTAAAATATATTCTACGTTTTATTATTTATATATTGGGTTTTAAAATGTGAGAAATGCACATTTGCTTTATATATAATTGAATATTAAAAGACTAAATCCCGTGGCTTTTGGAACCGTTAGAGTTTTAGATAGGCCAATTGAGCTTTCCGGTTATCGTATTCCTAGTGGGGTAAAACGATATTTTTTTACAATTGCAATAGTAATTATATTTTCTTTCTTTCTCTCTCTGTATCTTTTTTTCCTTCCTTCTAAACAAAATTCGCGATATCCTTCAATTTTTTTGATACTTCAGGTTAAGAATGAAAGTGATATTTTATTATTATTTGTCTCTTGATTTTAGAATTTGATTTTTAAAAATGTTTAAGATATTTTATTGTGCATCTTAGATTTACTTCGTAAAAAAATGTATTTATATTTTCTTCTTGGCTTCTGGCTTATTTAATTATAAGAAATATTTTAATAAACATTTTCTTTTAAGACTTATTATAAATTAATAAATAAATTTTTACCTTAAAGAAGATAAATTTTGAAAAGCTAATAAATAAAATAATATCAATCACTTAAAAAACAGTAGTTCTTTCCTAATAAAAGTAAAAATAACACTCATAAATTATTATTCATCTATCTTTAAAAATAAAAAAAATTTTAACGACCATTATCAATCAGGTCCCATTGATTCCTCAAAACATGGTGATGTCGCGATTGCCAAAGTATTTTAAAGATCATGATAAATTTATTCCTGAAAGATGGTTGAAACACGGTATTCATAAAGGTTTTCATCCTTATTGCGTATTACCTTATGGACATGGCCCTAGAATGTGCATAGGGAGGCGATTTGCTGAGCAAGAACTCAATTTAGGCCTGATTAAGGTAAAAAATACCTCTTAAACTTCTATAAAATTTAATTCATTTTGCTCTAGATTCAGTTAAAACTTCTGGTTACCCCCATTCTCCGAAAAATTAATTATATAACTTTATTACTTCCTAAGAAAAAAAAATATAATCTTCAGCATTTATAGGAGGCAAATTATAAAACATATAATTATTAAAGTATTTTTGAAGTTATTTTAAAAATTACTTTTCAAAATTTTTTTTAGAATTCCAAATGTTTTGAAAATTATTGGACAAAATAATATTTCAAGCGTCGATAATGCGAGTGAAAATCTCAATTACTTAAAGACAGTCTAGGCTGAACCATTTTTTAAAAAAGACTGGCCCTGTCCAGAGTTCTAAATAAAGACGAATTTTATATTAATACTTTCGCAGGGACTCGAGCCCCCTGAAAAATTTGAAGTGCCCCCTCAAAATTTTTATTTTTGAAAATGTAAACTAAAAAAAAGTAATTTTGAATTATGTTATAAAAAAAGAAGGTATTTTAGATAATGTTAAGCTTAAAAAATAATAATTTTGAATAACGTTATCTAAAAAAAAAGAAAGTAATTTTGATAATAATTTTAAAATTTCTTTTGAGCGCGCTGAGATTGTAAAGGCTAGTGACACCCTTCTTTTTACCTGTATCCGATTGATAAAATCCAAGGAAATTGGCTAACTGTAACAATTATAAAATTTAAAACGAATGTATCAGCCAATTTATAAAAAAACAGCTAATACTGATATTTTAGAAAGGATCAATTTAGTTTGAATAAAGTCCCATTTGGACGCAGCCACTTCTACTAGACCAAAACTATTCAAATACATTTCAATCACCTAGAAATTTGAATGGTGGGTCTGAATTTTAAACAATAGTAATTTTAATAAAAATTTATGAATAATGCTCTTAGATGTCTCTTTAGGTTGAAGCTGATTGATTATATGATGATACCATTCTCCAACATTTTATAGATCGAAATTTAAATCCTGTACTAATTTTTTTTATTGAATTAAAAATATTTCGAAAATTTGGGAAAAGTATTTATATAAAATTGAAAGTAGCGAAATAGCGTGCTACTTAGCTACTCTCTAAAAAGGAGCGCACTACTGATATCGCTATTTTTAAAAATATGGTGCGCTATAACTACACTGAAAAAAAGTAGCGCGCTACTATAACAGTTCTAGTTTTTAAAAAAAAGGCCTGCAATGGACAGATTTTGTTTTTAAAAAATTTAAATAGATTACCCATGTTTTTTAAAAAAATTTACCCAGCCACTTTCCCAAGCCCCCATCCATTATTAAAAATTATTTGATTTCAGCTAATAAAATATTTTAAAATGGCAGGTCCATTCTGAAAAAAGGAAATAAAACAATAAGAGAAGCCATTTTAATAAATATAAGCTCTCCTGCTTAATCCACCAATAAAATATTTTATTATGGCAGGTCCATTTTGAAAAAAGGAAATAAAAAATAAGATAAGTCATTCTCTAATAAATATAAGCTCTCCTACTTATTCCGCCAATAAAATATTTTAAAATTGCCCACACATTTTGTAAAAGGGAAATAAAAAATGAGATTTTCTAAACAAAATTAATATTGCCAGCCTTTTGTAATTTTTTACAATTAGCAATAAATTGATTAATTTTTTTTTCAAGTTTATAATATATCTTAAAAATTTCAACCCCCATTAGACAATTTTATAGTCGCCGAATAATTTACATGCGCAGGAAGGAGGAGCTAGAAGCAATTTGGCTGCTATCTTTTGAGGAGGGGAGTAGGCATCGAAGGGATTAAGGCAAATTAATTGGGGGGTTATCAATTAAATTTAAAATGAAATAGGGCAAACTGTAAAAATCATTTATATTTTTTACTATATCGACCAAATCTATATTTTGCATATAATATTCAAATAAAATTTATTTTCTGAATAATTTTTAAATGTAATTTAAACTAGTTAAACATTCTATCAGCAAACTCTTATTCATGCCAAACAATATACTATTAATGCATTCATTGTGAACAATGTGAAGGTTTTTAATTTAATTAAAATTCTAAAAAATAATACTTTTGTATTCGCAATTTTTTAATAGTTTGTAGATGAGTGTAAGGATAATATAAGTTATTCTATAATTAAAAACTTTTAATAACGTGAGAATATCGCTGCCAAGCAAAAAATTTTTAGTGGGACAGATTAAAGTTTTGAAAAGGGATTTCCTCCAGTGGATATTCTGTCATGTGAACACTGGGTCGCCACCTCTGAGTCCTAGTGCCTGTACAGATAGCAGACACATGTTGCGTTGTACAATATAACCATTTATTCAATTTAAAAAAACAGTAATCTATATCCCCTTCATCTCCTTAAAAACACTTCACTATTATTGATATCTTATCAATATGATTTTAACACATTTCTTTAATTCCACAACCTTCCCCCTTTATTAAACCTAAAGCTCCTATTAACTTGGCAGAGGAGGCCATAATTATAATATAAATATTCAAACTTAAATTAAAATATATTTGACGCCTAGATAATTGGGCACCTACTGGTTTAACCAGTCAGAATCATGGAACCCTCTCTGTCTACTACTTGCATTGTTTTCCGTATAACCACAGAGCTTCGAAATCACTCTTCCCAGGGTTATTTTTGTTATAAAATGCCCCTCAAAATATATCAAATCAAAAACATTTTGTATAAAAAAAAATTATGTCAAACAATATTTGTATTGTATCTATACAATAAAGATGAAATCTAAAAGTACCTTAGCATCTTTGTTCTCTTCAATTCTATTCGACCCGCCATAACTCACATAGCGTTATTTCTTGTTTCTCGTATCGTCTTAACGTTAATGGTGCTATTTAATTGGCCCTATCTCTTATTCCTTATTTATCGCTTGTATCACTTGCAGCTATGCCGCAATCATCCTGCCCTTGCCTCTATTCCGCTCTCTGGGTAGTTGCTGCTACATCCTTTACTTGTTCAGACTATTTTCATTTTTAAATCTTTCACTTTTTTTTTCATTTCTTTTTTTAAATATCTTATCCTTTTTTAAAATTCCATTTTATAACAAATTATCTTAATACATTTCATCTTTCATAAATTGAAAATCTATATCATCTAATGTAAAAATATTTTATCAATTTACAAAATGAAAATTTTAAAATACAATTTTTAAATGATCATCACCAAATATTATAAAATAACACGTTAGCTTTTAGTCACGCTATGTATACCTTGCAGCTTGATTTTTAGAATAGAAACGCTGATAACATTTTTTTAACTTCTCCTAAAAGCTTTTACATTAAAGAAAATAATCTCGATCTCTACCCCTTCCCCAAGTTGTATGTGATATGCTTCTACCTCCCCCCCCCCTCCCCCAACCTCCTCGATATCTAAACAATCTTTCAACAAAAATTTACCCTTAGTACAGCATTCTTTGAGCACTTATACTGGGAAACTATTATTTCTTTCTTTCTTTCTTTAAAGCCTATATCGTTGTATCCATAACGAGTACAATTCCCATTCGATGTTCACCGATGTCAATTTTCGATAGGCATATCTTAGTATCCATAGTGAACTTGTTGTTCACTTTGTGTAACCAGATCCATGCCCCTTTTCATACTATCTAAAATTTTCAGGTAAAATAATCCTCTTCTCTTAAGCCCTCCGGTTTCAACACTGATAATCAAACTAAACGTGCCTCATACCTTGGAAGTAATATGTAATATCATTACATTTTATTGATATTATTTTAAAATTCTTGCAAGAAACAAGGCGTATTTTTTATTTGTAGAATATTTTTTTTACAATGTACTAAGAATTACATCTTTGTACATTTAAATAAATTCGGGCAGGGCCGACAAATAATTTTTATTTTGGGTCGTGACAAATAAAAATAAAATTCGTTTGGGATGGGGTTGGGCAAATTTTTTAAAATAATTTAGGGCCGGGTCGAAAAATTAGGCAATGCAAATCATTAATATATACCCCTTGTTTAAGATTAGATATGCTTGGATCGTTTGGAAAAATATTTAACCACTAATTGCCTTATTAGGACAAAAAACTCGAATACTAAATTGAACAACCTCTTTAGTCCCCCTAATTAATGATATAGTCAGTTTTGAACCCGAACTCTTTGTTTATTTTAAAAACTATTGTTCAAAGAATAATTACTGCCGATCCTGATGATGGTTTTTCTTTGGGGAAAATTTCCAAAAAAATTTGTCACTCATATTGTACCTTAATCCAAGTATCAATAATCCTTATTGGCTTAACTTATTATTTTTTATATTACTTCGACGCATTAAAATTTTTAAAAAGGTTTTTCACCAGTAAATATTTTTGCCTGCTGCGAATAATTTTGTACAAGTTATTTGGCTAATATTTGATGGAAAAAAAATTTTGTTAAATTCTAAGCAACTTCCCGTTCAACATCTGCATTCTCTGGTCCCTCAAAATTTTTTTGGCAAGCCTGCACCAACCTCAAAAATTATATGCCATAATGGGAAATTAATGCGGATTCGGAATCTCAACAAATCCATTTGAGTTTGATTCAAAATGTCAAACAGAAGCCTGCTAGTTAGAAGTCGAGTTTAGGCCTGGATTATTAGAAAAAATCACTTTTAAGCCAAACCCAGAATTTTTTTTGACCCGTCCCAGATTTTATTTTAGAAAATTTCGTTATTTTGAATAATTTTGGCTCTATTTTTCAAATTGTTTCAAAGGGAAATTGAACTCAACATTATAGCCAGGAAAATATTGCCAAAACATCGAGATATCGCCAATAGATGTTCAATCCTATGTGCTATCGATGAGCAAAATCTTTAGACTTGCATAATATTTTTCTGGATAAAATAGTAAGTTAGCCGTTAAAAATCGGCTCAAATTGAGCCGTTTAACAACACTGCCTACAAGTCTCTAGAAATGCATTCCATCATTTACAGAGTATCCAATAAATTAATTTGCTAAAATTATATTCGGGTGAAATCAAAGTTGCCTTTTTAATGATTTAAAATTGATATATTCTGAACTTACATAGATTCCATATTCCGCTAAGACATTTATATTTTTTAATAAATTAAAATCAAGATTTAATGCAATGCTAATATAATTTAGACTAAATAATAAAGTTTGGTATAATATATTTCAAAAATAATATAATCTTATTATAATTGTGCATATACATAGATAATCAAAACTTTTGCAGTGTCGTATGAAAAGGAGCCAATTGATAGTGTCACTGAACTAATAGTCAAGCCTGATAGACCTATAACTTTAAAATTTAAAGAAATATAATTTTATCCTCCTCCCCTCCTCCCAAAAAAATATTAATATGTAATAAGTTAATAGTTGTGTAATTTATAATGTATTTTATAAAAAAAAATTTGTCATTTATATAAGCACGATAAGGTTCTATAAATTCTAATTTACTGCATTCAATCAGTGTACATTATAAATTGCGAATATTTTCTTTTTTAAAAAAAAATACAAATAAAATACAATTTTTTTTAAAGTTAAGTCCATGTAATGATCACATATAACCATGGCGTCATAAATTGTCATAATTTAGGGTTGATTTATTATATAATTAAAGCTCCTCCTACATTTAACGGAAATATTCTCTTCACAAATAATCAAATGATTTTTAAAAAGTGTTTACGCGGATCTAAATTATTTTTTATGGCATTGCACAAATCTAGTAATTAGTAACGAAGCTTCATAGCTCTTAGTGTTTCTTTGTCTCTCAGTGAGTTCGTCTTTTTTAAACATTATACATATAAGAAATTTAATTTCAAAAATGTAATAAAAATCAGATAACGTGTTTCCTCTATTTTACATGACAATAATGCATTCTTACAATAATTTATATATTTTTTTAAAAATATTTTTATATATATTTACTTTAGCGTTTGCATTTTAACTAGTGTTTTTCACGATGTTTTTTTTATAAAATTTAAAAAATAAAATAGAAACAGTATTATAAAACAGTGACAGTATTACGCGACTATATAATTTCATGATAACAAAAAAAAGTATATTTATCAAATATTATAACTAATAAATAAATAATAATTTTATAAATATATAATATTGTGGGGAAAAAAATGCATTTGATAACCGCTTATTTTATAATTTTTCCGATTTGTTGAATTAACTATTTTCAATTTTCTCCCTCTAATTTATATAATATAATATTTATACGCCGACTAATAATTATAAATAACAAATTACATGAATAATAAAAATTTTTAGGACTAATTTGATTAGATTTTATTCGTTTATGAATACACTTATTTTAAGCAGATGATTATTTCAGATAAAGAGTATATAATTTTCTAAGCTTTAATTATACACTATTATGTATTATATAAATAATAATGACAAAAAAATGACTAAAATATTTATTAAAGCTAAATTAATTATCAAGTAAATCTTGACAATTATTTGATATTTTATTATACTCATTAAAAATAATTTCGAAGTTTATAAATCTCGTAATTCCTCTTTTCAACAAGATAAGGCATTTCTATAGCATCGCTCGCATACTTTATATACCTTAGCTATTGGTACAATACTACTATCATCAACCCTTGCAATTTCTCTTTCCCCATTTTCAACCTTTCGTTTCTGGGTCGAAGATTGGTGATAATCTATATCCTCGTAAGTTTGATAGCTCTGAGTTGATGGGCATTTACTGATAATGGTTCTGCGTGAAAGGCAGCTTAAACAAAATACTTCGCCGCATTTCTGGCAATGTCCGCTGTTCTCGGTGTTTAAAAACGTTTGATCGGTCTTATATTTTATGGTTTTTAAAATGTTATAAAAATGTAGATTAAAAAATATGATCTTTTATAATAATAAATATCCCTGAGGAAAGCGAAATTAAATTCCATTTAAAAACATAATATTACAGCATAACTAATATCTAAAAACACATGCAATTAATTTATGAAAATAATAATGGGCAGTGAGAAGTTAATATTTTATTTGAGTTTTAAATGGCCTATAAACGCACAGAATTAAAACTGAAATGCTCAGAAAAAAAATTCTTACGCTCAAAACAAATACTTAATGCTCAAGAAAAAAACTAAATGCCTTCTTAAGGCTCAATTAAAAACTTAATTGCCCATAAACAATATTGCTCAGTTATAAAACTGAAACGTTCAGATTAAAAAATGAAACGCTCAGAACTAGTTATTTAATTGCTGAGCAATTTTTAGTATTAAAGATTTTAAGATTTTTGTACGATTACAAATTTTCAAAATAATGTTGGCCTTTTTCAGTTTCCTTGGACTACTGCACCCTAATTTCATGATGATACTGCATACCCGCTACCCCATTATCGTAGTCCTTGCCGATTCCTCAAAATAAAAATTACTGGTTATAGGAACTTATTTTAAAAAGTGGATTTTTTGATTTTTAAATATGGTTTCGACTAAATGGCTAAATAAAAATGGGAAAATTAAAAATTTAGTCATTTTTCAGATAATACCTAAGTTTGAAATGTTAGGAAATATAAAAACCCACAAAGAAGTAGTAATGAGTAAAAATCACAATGTTATCAGTAGATCTTTATATTTTTTAGCTTCTCCATCCCACTCTGAATAATAGTTATAATAATTATCCATATAATAAATTGATCCTTTTCGTAATATTATGTTAAAAACTTTTTAATCCCACCGCACTCATCCCAAAAACGTAAAGTGATTAGCATCAATGTAATCAATCGATCTTTTTATATCGATATATTATGCTAGGATATTTTTAACCCCCAACCCTACCATATACACTCTGAAGAGATGAGTATTAATATAATCAATTAATCTTTTTATTAGCTTTCATTTGATACATATGTTGAGATATTTTATTATGCAATTTTACTGCCCCCCCCCCTAAAATACATCTAGATATATCGAGTGATAAGTATCAATGTAAACAATTGATCTTTGTATTAACTTTAATTTGATACCTATGTTGACATATTATATATCATTAATACCCACTCCTCTCCCAACAAGTACTCTAGTGACATTGAGTGTTGAGTATCAATGTAATCAATTTATCTTTTTATTAGCTTTCATTTGATATCTATAGATATTATGTTAAAATAAATATCCCCACCTACCCGGATGACATAAAAAATCAATATAAATTTATCATTTTAATAGCTTTCGTTTGATATTCATGTTGGCATATTATGTCGAAATATCACCCCCCCCCCCGCCCCCAAAAATGTACACCCCCCCCCCTCATTACCAACACATACTAGATCTAAGAGCATGGATCAAAAATTAATTTGATTAACTTTAATTTGAAATTAAATACTTAAATAACAAAAATTTTTGAGCGATTTATTGGTATTTCTTCTGAAAATAAAAACTGAGAAAATCAAAATTTTCTCTTTGCAAAATCGTCTTTGATTTTAAGAAAAATATCTGTGAAATCAAATATAAATAAGAGACCTGCAGAAGTAGCATTTGCACGGCCCTGCTGCCTGAATTTTAAAAAAAAAAAATTTTCGGCCCGACCCGGGTTTTGTATTTTCAGGCCAGGCCCGGATTTTTGCTAAAATTGGCGATTTAAAATATTCAGTTTTAAAATATACGGCCTGCTCGGGCATTTTATAAAAAAAAAATTTAGGGTCAGCCCGGGTATTTAAGAAAAAATTTTAGGCTCTGGTATATTTAAAAAAATTGGATGGGCTTGCAGGTCTCTTATACAAATAATGAGACCTTCAGAGGTATTACACCCTTTGGCCAGCATTTTTTTAAAAAAATATTTTTTTAGTCCGGGCCCGGATATTTTTTTAAAATTTTTCGACACCAGAATTATTTCAAAATATATTACATTTTTTTATTTTTATAGCTAATAATGGCGATTTTAAATATTCAGTTTTAAAATATACGACCCGGCCCAGATATTTTTAAAAAAATTTAGGACCGGCCTGGTCATTAAAAAATTAAAATATGACCTGGCTCGTGTACCCGAGCCGGGCATGAAGGTCTCTGATAAATTCTGAAGAATTAAGTAAAAAAAAAATTCTGAGCATTTCAGTTTTTATTTTGGGCGGCATATGTCCAGGGTGGGTATTGGGGAAGAGGGTGTAAAAATGCATAGTAAAATATCTAACATATGTATCAATTAGAATCTAATAAAAATATCAATTGAATATTAATATTAGCTAAGAAAAATAATTAAAAAATATGGAAATAATAACGATAAAAAAATAATAGAAAAAATATTTAGAAAAAAAGATAAAATAATTTCATTAACATAAAGGAAACTATGGAACTATTTTTTCAAATCTAGCTATTATTTTTATATCATAAAAAATTTTATTAAATTTTATTTTATAATTATTATAATAAAATATTTAGGTAAGGATTGAGTTAGAATGTTCAATAAAATAAACAACATTTAAAAATTGGTATATATTTATATATAGTGTTGTAAAGTAATATCATTAACTTTTTTGAAGGAAAGGAACGCCATTCGTTACATTTTTCTAGAGGAAACGAGCAACGGTAAAGCGTTTCTTTTATTTTTGAGTAACGGTAATGCAAAACTTTACTCGTTACCTTAAATTTTTCCTTAAAAATTATGAAAAAAACATATTTTTGTTGTAAAATTAATTTATTTTTTAAATTTTATAAAAAATTTAAGCGGAGTTTTTAAGTCAGATCAGCCAACAAATTCCTTCATTTTTATTTTGTTGTTAAATTAAGTTAAGATTGTTAATCTAATATTAAATCAATCAAGAATTAATATATATTTTTATTGTATATATTTCTTCAAATGAAGATGATCTAACCTGCCCTGGCCCCTGAAATTCATAGTCTTATTAAGGAGAATAACCAATCTGGCGAATCTTGTGATAAATCTGAATTGCAAATATTTTCAGATAATGACAAGTCATTCATATATATTTTGTATGGCTAGTGTTAATTAAAAAATAATGATATGTATATATGATTTTCTATGTTATGGAACCTGTTACTACGCATTCGATTTTAGAAGATTTAGGATATCTCACTCCTACGATAACTATTGTTTAAAACTTAAAATAATTGCTTTAAATAATTTCAAGTTTTGTAAGCCACTTATTAATGCAATCCTGCAAGGCATAGATAAAAGATAAACAGTTAAAATATTGTTTACAATTTATATTTTGATTATATTTTCAATAGATTTGAACACATCTATAAATATGAATATATACTATCAGCAATAATTCACCTGCCACTTAAATTAAATTAGCCCTGGATAAAATTATAGGTCATCGAAGGGAGGTGGAAGTAGAAAGCTTGAATTATTAAGCTTTTTTCTAAATAAGAATTATTTTTTAATTTTTAATAAAATCCCCCCAATTAAAATTTTTATTTAATAAATATTATACAACCCTTCCATCCTCTGCGTTTATCAAAGATGTGTTAACCACTCTCTAGTTTATCCAAGGTTGTGCATTTGACCGGTCAAATAAAATTCGGTTAATTGACCGATATTTGACCGGTAAAATACGATCATATATGGTCACAAATAAATGTTTTTTTAAGACAATATTAATTCCATTTTATATATAATAGTAAAAAATGTATGTCAATAACTTGAGCCCGAAATCTGATTGTTTTTATGAAAGTTACTGGTTTCCAAATATTTTGGCTATTAAATATACCACCGCTTTTATTTCTGAAATTTATGATATCACTTAGAATATTTTGATCATCATCACTTTGTAAAACGACTAATTTTTGTATTATATCATATGCTTCATCAAACTCAAGTAAGATGCTCTCCTTATATTGGGAATGTAATAAATAATCAGCAGTGCTGTGTGAAAACATGAATTTGGATTGTTCTCTTCTTCAAACGTATCTTTAATATTTTTTCTTCGGGTTGGTAAATTATAAAATAATGGACATGATTGTATAATATGTTTTCTAAATTAAGCATCTTGTTTTTTACGTGAGCCAGGGTCAATAAGATAGCTAAATGTTTATGAATAGTATTTAATTTTAAATTTTTTGTCCAAAATAACATTTAATATATTATTGGCAATTTCTCTCGGACAAATATCCAACTTCTTCAACAGCTGCTTTCAGAGCTTTCTTGCATATATGTATTTGCTCATTACATATTATTGATGATGCCCAACTTGTTTGGATAATTGTACATAATGTAATATAAATTGTCAATTAGTAATTTTCTCAAACCATTAAGTAAAATTATTATATTTATTTATATATTTAGATTTAATCAAATTAATAATGAGAAAAATTCTTTTTTTATATATTTCAAATTGAAATTCTAATATTTTAATATGAATATTTTATATTTTTATATAAAATTATAATTAAATCGATGTCTTGATGATACAAATATATTTTTAAATTTGCAATTAAATTAGATTGATAAACATGCTTTAAATACATATTAGTTAATTAAATGAATATAGTTATTCGCCAATAACATTTTAGAGTATTTGACTGTATTTGACCAGGTCAAATACTCTTTCTCAATTGACCGACTTGCCAACCCTGAGTTTATCTGACCAATGAAAATCAATTATTATTAAAAATAATAAAAATATCTTATATAATATATTATTTGTATAATTTTATTTATATTATATATATGAAATTTTAGTATATTATTTAATTTTTCCACATTACTAATAGCCAGTACCTTCCTTTTTCCACAAGGTAGCGAGTAACGGTAACGTGTTTTTTTTTACGTAACAAGTAACGTGTTTTTTTTGAAAAAACGTTTACTGCACTTTTATAATTATAATTATA